ATATTATGTGATGGAAGCGCAAGTACAATAAGTCCTTATCTGGTCTCATTTACATCAAGGTTGCCATCTGTAAATATTCAGCTGTGTTGGGTCTTTATGATGGAGTCTTGATTTTTAAATAAACGCTATATCTGAATGTGCCTCTTGTAATTTCATGTGCATGCGCTAATTTATGGAAAACTTAAGCTGTGACACAAATAAACAGATTTTGAACTTAAGAGTGCTTTCTACTTATGATGCGAAACTTGCAATCAAGTACAATTGCTTCGGCTTAAGAGTCGGCCGTGCTTGTGTATGAAATCATTCGGTACAAATTAAGGCTATTCACCGGCACCCGTCATAAACGTAATGACAATACGACTCTTTCCCAAGATCAACTCCGCAGTTTTCCCGTTTTCATTTGTATGCAATACGTGAACTTTTTGAAACCTAAATAGTAATTCATTTTAAATGCTAATGCTTTCGTTTCCATTTTTGGTGAAGGGAAACAATGTTTGGCACTGTTAAAGTAATCCTGAAGTCCGTGTGTAGGTGCGAGTGTACATAGCGACCCATTTTAGTTGGGTGTTAACCACACATAAGATGTTATAAAGAAAAAAATTGATCTGATTACGCATTTTATCAACAAATGATATTGAACCGTTTAATACACTTTATGTGATTGTGCAGCTAAATTGATTCAAAATTGCTACCTAGTCCTTCGCCTTCTTCTGACATTAATCAAAACACATTTCTCAAAAGGTATGTTCGCACTGATCAAGCCGTATTTGGCCGATTACGTCGCTTCTCTCTAATGTTTAATAAGATTTCCAGGTGAAAGCCTTACTGATTTATTTAAAATGATCGACTCGTTTGCTAAAAAATTACTATGATGCTAACCATATGACCTCTGATTGGATGTTAAATGTTTTGAATGGCATATTTAACAGTGTAATTGGTCTCAACATGAAGGTATGAAGAATTTAATAAAAATGTTATCTTGACTTACATGGTGCAGCCTTTTATGCACGGCATTTAGTCTTCACATTGACTTCCTACAGTCTCATCTCCGAGGTTAGAGTTGTTGATAATTTGTCCTTATGCTAATACAAAATGTTGTACATCAGCGCTTAATTTGACAATAATTTGGAAGCAGTTTGCGGGACGATGCAAAGTGGTTTGCATGCCAAAGCGCTTAGGTCGGTGCCACAAGAGCAGTTTTAATCCTTATCGATGCAACGCGCAATGTGAATGACTTGTCCACGTTTACATCGATATGCGCATTAATTTTCGCCATTTTTAATCATTAAAGAGGGTGCTAAGGTGTTAAGTCATTGCTAATAGAATCACTTTCGCCCGTATTTTGTCGTTTGTCGGCAGGTTACGCAGGAATTTGTCGTTTAAGCGCAAGCGTTGATCTGATGCCAACTAAAGGAACAGAATTTAAATGACAATTCACTGCATCCCACGAGCAAAGCTTTAAGGTAAGGATACACAATTGCATGTCAGCGATTTTGGCAGTACAGTATGAGTGGCAAGTTCTTTCCCATTCAAAATTGAAATAATATGTTTCTACAAGTACTATGCGAAATACGGGTTACAGAGCTTTTTATCAGGCTGTCGGCGACTGAGATAAGCTCCAGGGATTTTTGGCTTCTTCCCATGAGCAGAGCGTACAGAAATGTGTGCAAATGCAGAAAAGTGCTGCAAAACATGCAGTCAAAGTGTGCTGAGCCTGGTTTTAGCAAAGCTGTTCAAGGGGAGAGGAATTCACAAAAATGTAAACGTCAATAATTAGTTATTATAAAGCAATGAAAGAACTTGGAGTTTATCAAATGTCGATGCCATTAACAGCTAGCGAACACTGCAATCCTAGCAGAACATGCTCTGATGTTTGTGCTTTAAAGAGAGAACGAGCAAAAGATAATGAATTCTACAAATGAACCAAAAAAAGTCTGATCCTCTTATTTATTCTTCGTAACCAAAAAAATAAACATTTGACAATGTGCTTTGGTTCCTCTCCCGAGAAAGGCACTCAGCACTAACAGACTGTACAGTATAGTTCCCAAAATGCATGATGTAATGAGCGTATTAACATCATTGCCTTTAGTGATAACCGGAAACACCTCAAGTTGTGAGTATGCGCAAGATCAAAACAGGTCATATGAAGTAAATTTGCCAATTTGACGCCACCAGACTCCCTATAAACGATACGAGAAAATATTTTGCCTTTAATTGCACAACACTCAAATTTTAAACAATGGAAGCGCACTACAAGTGCATGGGTGGAGCAACATCATACAGGCCACAATTGTTTGTGATCGGAGATACTGAATTTGATGGCAGACAAAGTGTCGGTCCTAATTAACCGAAGGCTGACAGGAGTCGACTGTCATTTGTAACCAAGATGGTTGATTTACCTACACGAGAAGCGAATTAAGGGCGTGCCTTCGTCAGACATACTATTATTGTCTAATGGCATTCGAGTTCTTAAAGTATTCCTTTTGCAAACAACTTTGAATCACCTGCGCCTCTACGCACTTTGTCCTAATGTGTACAAATTCGTTGCATTACTGCTCTTTAATGTTGATAGCAAAAGTACATTACTCAAAGAGACAGTAACGCTGTTCCTTGTTTGGTTTTATCAAGAAGAGTTCATCGTTTTTTTAAACAGAGTGATAAAAGGGAAAAGTCGAATACATTCCGCCAACATCACTAACAAGTTAAGGATTTGTTAACTTTTTGGACGCAGCTATGGCAAATGCAATTAATTTGTTGCATCTTGTCTTAGCGTTTATGCTATGGCTTTTTAAGTAATTTATGCTAGGAATGGTCATTAATGCAGACAGTCTGTGCAGTTTTTTTGAATTTACTGCGACCTTTCTTGACCATAAACTGGTGAGAGCTTTAAAACTGATTGGTCCACACCGTTTTCCTGCCACATTTCAAACGGAGCTCAATTGCTTTCATTTATCTAAGCCAAGAAGGCTGCCACGTCTTCTTTGGTCACTTTAGCATTAGCAGGTAGCCGGTTTGCTCGAATCCCGGTTAAGGGTGCGGTCATGTAAGCGGCTGAGTGGACAGGCCACTGAGCCACTTCCTGCAATGTTTTTTTCTGAATTTTTGACGATGGCATTAACAGTTGAATGTGAATCCTAGTTTCCCTACAGATGCAAATGATTTGATAACCAACAAGGTATTCTTGGGTTAAGAGACGAGCGTTATACTACAGTAAAAACCCTGAACAACCATTTACATTTAAAAAAACGTGATTAATAAAAAGTATAGTTGCATAAATTTTGCATAAGCATGAAGACGTTGGTATACTGTGGCATAGGGATGCTACTTTGCCCTACGGAAATAAGTAGACACAACGATTGCATATTTGAAAACTGAATATGAAGGTTTGAAGCACTTAGACTTTTAACTGAATACATTGTTTTACATACTGAAGTACCATGACAAATTGTCTCATTCCCATCCTGCATATCTTACCATAAAGTCGTCCAGGTTGGACACCATTCTTACATACAGGGCTGCAAGCTGTGGTTAACTTTATTTTGTGGTGGACCGCTTACTGAAACGACTAAAACCAACTCTCAAAATAGGAAGATCCACATTATAGGATCGTAACAGGAGGCCTTTTACATAGCCCCATTTTTGCGCATCTTCTCCCCATTCCAACTAGTAAGCTCTCCACGACAATAGTTAGCGTACAGTGTATATCGTGAAATGCCTATACCACTACATTAGACTAATTTTTAAGTTACTCAGATGTTGTAAAATACTCTTGATAAGCTCAATATGAGGTGATTGAAACAATTTAACCGCATTAAAGAGTGGTCCAATCCTCATCAATTTGGTGCTAGCTCACGGCAAACATTTGCTGTTAATGTGCTTAATACAAGGGGAAGTGGGGCAAGTGAGTGCATGCATTATAGCATTACGACAACCGAAGGTACGAAAAACACGTTGTGCGTAATAACCCCACAGCATCAACAGTTACAAAGATCTACCCGTCTCTACCAACCCCTATGCTTAGTTTTGATTTGACAGAAAATATATCCGCTCCATGATGCACTAAATTCACTAAATTCAACATAAAATAAGCGACTAGGAACTTTCTAAAATAATATGAAAGAGCATTCTTTTTCTGGATGACTTTACTAATAAGCTTGCATAGGGCACAAAATTCAGTTATCAAAGCACGGAGAGGTTTTTTAACAGCAGCAACGTATATGCCTTTAAAACTCAGCGAAGGTGTAGAATAGGTACTGGTGTGCTCCTTACTTTGACGATCCTGCATCCTTACTGCTGCAGCGTCGAATGTGTTGATACTTAGCTGGTAGGCATCCGTCAGTGCCGGATCCATTAAAAAGTGAAAACTACCACCCGCCTCCATTTTCGTAGAAGTTCATTAATTAAGTAAGAGTTTAATAAAACGAATGCCACACGTACTGAAGGATAATACATACTGGACTTTGAAAAATGCAGCAGTCACTCTAGGTCTCACTGGAGCAACGTCTTAAGCGACAGCACATGCGACTCTCCACAGCGAAGGATTTGTTTATTTTATTTCTAAGTTAATCGATTAGGGGACTAAATTTAAAATTAAAACGTTGTGTATTTGACGGACCTCCATTTCGAATGGAGGTAAGCTTAAATCTAGATAGTTTTCCATATGCGTATCAAAACGGTTTGGTTATTCTGAATTAAGAATACAACACTCGTTATCCCCTGTAAAACAAGAAGAATCAAACAAGTATTTGTTCAAATGATAAAAAGGTAGAGCATGCGTCATAATTTCAGATATGAATTGTTAAAATAAGGTCCAAGTTACACAATTTTTTAGCAGAGTTTCTATATTTTCCTGGTAAAGCAATTTAATGTTACGTTCGAAATTTACGGGAAACGGAAAACGTATCATAACACATTACATTCCTCTATTTAAGGTTAACTTCTTTTTTGTTATGTGTTTAATGCTGATGAGAAGCATTAAAATACGTGGTTCGGATCAAAAAATGTCTGATTACCTCCGCCTCATCCCACAAAATCGTATGCCGCAGGGTTACGCCTATGCCCTGCGTGTCGGTTTTTCCCCGGGTACGATGGGAAGCGAGTATGTTTCCGTAGTTATTCCACCGGTCCGTCTACCTGGACGTTCTCGCCTACATCCGTGGTATAGTTTTCCTCGTGACCAGTGGATTAGAACTACTATACAAAGTTCCCGTTTAGAGGCCATCTGCAAGCGTGGTGCTCAATATTGGCTGGACTGCGTCTTCCGCTGGTTGCATTTCCTTCAACAACAGGTGAAGATGAATGAGCTACAAGTGGCTGCCAATCAAGACTTTAGAAGGATGTTACAGAAGACAATTTTACAGGTCTTTGCCTTTCGTTTGGAGTACGTTGTGTTTTATTGCCACCTACGGCGTGTATGGCAGGAGAGGAGACTTGACCAGTTGATCCTGCCGGACCCTTACGGTCTTTGCCCTCGCGTCTGTAGCGATCGCAGTGGAAGGATAGAAGAGGATGACGGCGTGATCGAAGTAAATCGTGGTCTCGCTAGACCGGAGAACAGATTGGAACAGTGTGTTTCATCCACCAGTCTGCCAACAATTCTTACCTCAAGTTGCTTTCCTGATCCACATGGTATGTATGAGCACCTGTCTAATTTTGAAGAGTGAGCATCGGAAATATAGCTTTTTTAATTATTACGGCTAAGCATTTTTCCGAATTTCATTTTTTAAAACGTAACTTTGGCTGAAGTGAAACTTATTCCGATTATACTGGTACTATTATTCTTTGATGGCCTTACAAATGAATGTTATTAAATGATGACGAACGAATGGGTGACTTGTAGTATTTCGATAATTTCGCCGATTCTATTTGATGCACATTCTGCATTCTTTGCTAAATCATAATTGGCATGAGAGTCTGCAAAATCAACAAAACATCTACAAGAAACTTTTAAACGTTGGAGGAACCCGTAATAATTACTTTCTATATGATCATGTAAATGTAGTTGGATTGCACACAACCATAAGCTTCTCATGTCAATGCCCTGCAAACACTGACTACAAGTGGATGTGTGGTCCAAAACTTTGTTCTCTCCATCGGAACTGGCGAACGCCTGGCTACTGGCAAGAAGGTGATGCGAAGCAAAAACTGAGGAGCACAATGTGGCGATTTGATCCACCAGCCTATTACAAACACTTGCAGTGCAGCCGTGAAGGTACACTGGATGTCGCATACGTCTGCATTAATGACAAGATCCAGTTGACCTACGGATTCGTGAGGCCCCAATGTCGGCAGGCTGAGTACTGTGTCTGCAAACCGCGATATCACGGAGCCCTCTGCGACAAGGTGACCAAGTTGTCTCAACCATAGAACTGCAAAGATAATGCACTTAATAGTGTACAGTTCACATTACCAACTCGGCTATACCAACTAAGTAGAGCAGCATTAATTACAATCAGAAAATAGGAATGAATAATTTATGAAATATTTTAGATGATAGTATAGCTATGTAGGTCAAGCAAAAAAACATACTTTTACTTGGGAATAAAGTTGAACTTCAAAATATCTTCCTCTTCGAGATACACCTCCAACAAGTTTGTGCCAAGGTGGAGAAAATGAACATATTTTCGCCTTGTTATCGCCAAAAACTACAATAATCCTGGTTAACATAACCCATTCATAATTGAGGAAAGTGGCAACGAAGAAAGTGTCAGAATTCCACGCGGAGTTGCCTACATCTATTCTGTAAATAAACGCATGACACAATGCGGAGTACCTCACCACTGGCCTTGTATTCATTGCATGCTTGTTTTTTACTAAGAAGTCAAAGGTTACTGTTAAGGTTTGAATCCTTCTAGTAGGAGTACGCATCTGTACTGTTGAATGCATTATTGCAAGCTCTTTAAGTGGTTCCTTTTATATCATTTGAAAGAAAATTAATGATGGCGGTGATCGACCAAATGCTCAATTTAACCTCAAAACTTTCATCAGCATGACTGCATTACCATGCCAAGAATTTACTTTAGGAGACAATTATTTCAAGTCGGTCAACACTAAAATTGGAAGTTTTAGAATGCTGCCAATCCCAACGTCTATGGCTCATGTGGCGATACATGATTGACACTCGTGGAACACCGGCTGCAAGGTTGGCTGAAGTCTCAAGTAAACATTAAGATTTTAGAAAAAAAAGGTACTGTAGGATCTAAAGTGTTGTTGATACTAATTTCATAGATATTACTGTGCCCAGAGAAAGGAAAGAGGTCGTGTGCACCTAGGCAGTGATTGCGCCGAAGATTAAGTGGATTGGTAAAGTATAAGCGAGTTAGTATTTCATGGGCAGCATGATCTTGTTTCGTCTTTTTTTAAGAGGTGCCTACAAACTGTTTAAATAAAGTTTAAGCTATTCTACTCTCGTACCAAATACGAGCCGAGCGAAAGTGCAATGTTGGTGAGGATGTTTCGTAACTATTAAAGAAATTGGATAACCCACTAACAAGCTGCAATCAGCATAACTTAGGGCAAACGTCTTTTATTGATAAAAATTGTCACAAATGTGGATCTCGGCAACAGGCAAACACCCACAGATAGCTTCATTGAATTGATTAGGATCTTGATATTGCCTAAAGTTTACCTGAGATCTCTTCACTTAATCAGTTGCAAATTAGTAGGAAGCCTGATGCGTTTGGATAACTTAATGAAAGTTTTTTTCTAGAGAGCCACATTACTTGTTGCAGCCTCGGACTATCATCCTCTCCTACACCAAAAGCCGTGAGACATATATAATTTTGAGGCAAAACAAATGGCAGTGCATAATCTCACTATGCTTGCAGTAATTGATACTTTCAAGAGTTGGTCTGATGTCTGTTTACTAGTAAAGTGAAAGAATGTTAAAAGTGAAATAGCAGGATATCTTCCTCCATTTGTAGATTAAAAACCCATGTGAACAGGCAATAGGGAGCCTGCCATCGGGAAATATAGCCTGCAGAACTGTAGAAGGAAACAAATGCATACCAGACATGGGATCGGGGAGCTACTCATGTCAGTGTTTGCCCAGCTATCGTTACTTCAGATTTACTCAAGGCATCATGATGGGAAGGGATAATTGTGTGGAACGACTGGATGCGTGTCAGAAAACAAGATGTCAACATGGGAGGTGCATACTCGTACGTCTATTTGTACGCGGATGCACTATCATAATGCTGACCCTTGGTCCAAGGAGGCCACAGGTCAATAGCTGATTCCATACCACCCTACTAGCTCAGGCAACATTTTTATCAGTGCAATTATGGAAGTGAGACAACAGATTGTATCAATGCTGTAACTTCCAACAAAGTAGCTTGTCACATAATTAATTGGGTTGCAAAAGTAGTCGGAGTCATTTTTTCACGAGGCAGTGATGATACTTTTGGATGATGGCCGGCTAAGGATGAAGAGCAATTACATCTCTTAACTGATACTCTGCACAGAAACTCTCCCTAATTGTACCATTGCTCCGGAGTAAGTGTAAGTATTTGTCGTTAGCAATTAGCTTGTTTTAGAATATTTTAGGTCCTGTCAATAAGAAAGGTGATAAATCTCTCGGTTTTCTAATAAGTTACGACCTAACTAAAAGATCCGTTTTATAAAGCTCCTGTCAAACCATTGTTTTCGTACTCATCGGTGTAATGGAAGTTTGGGTAGAAGGCGTATTATTTTTTTATAATATATATTTGTATCAAACACAAGGTCTCCGAATGGAATACTGATGTTGGCCGTATGCAAGTCTTGGCGAAATGTCTGTGCGATGAGGGATGGAGGGGTCGTTATTGCAGCCATCCGTACCCTATTAACAACTGGACGCCCTGGACTTCATGGTCATTGTGCCAACCGACATGTCAACATGGCCTCTATAGTGGTAACCGATACAGACGTAGGACCCGAAAGTGCCTTGACCCATACCACGGCGACTGCCAGTTTCCGGAGGAAAGAGATGATGTAACAAGGTCAGATACCAAGGTTACTGAATTACGACTCTGTCGACCACGTCCCTGCGACCGCTACCTTAAGTTGATCTCGCAGTCCATCGAGAAGGCGCCCATAAAAGCCGTATGCCAATAAATAGTTAATTTTTCAGTGTCGATAGGAATACACACCAAACAAATGTCTGAAAATCGCGCACAAATAGGCAGAAACTACCTATTTATTAAAATTGACTTCAGTATTTATTCCTTAGCAGATGGCTGACACAAAGGTGGTGGAGACCCTGAGAATTATCATGCATCAAACACACTTAGCTTCAAGAATTTGGACACAGGTTGCAAAAAGTGGTAAAAAAGCGAAGTTTTGCAAGTTAGATATTTCTGGTGGAACTTTAAAAACTAAAGCGCGTAGTAGGTGACCACTTACTAAATTACACTAAAAGCTTTATGGATTATGCATTTGAATGTACAGTGATAATAGCAATAGCATTATTTCATTACCAAGGTAAAAAATTTCTAATCGTATCCGAATTCGGTGGTCAAAACACTTCAACCACTTTCAGATGCAGGTGATATGGCAGTCAACCAAGGCTATCAGAGTAATCATGATTGTGACATGTTTACTCCTTCTACTTGTGATGGCACTTGCATTCTGGACAGTTTCACTGCAGAGCAGGCGGGCTGGACTGTTTGCCAAAGAGTGTCACATTGGGCCTAAGGAAGGTGATGGAAAGAACGGAAACGTGATTGAAGAAAAACATATTTCGAACTTTAACCATAGTCTTTGCGGACTTGCTGTGTCAAAGTCCCCTTAAAATTAATTTCAACAGTTTTTTAGTCAAATAAAGCGTTTGTTTTGAATTGTGCTTGCATTAAAATGGCCGAAGTAAAACAGGTATTGGAGGGATGCTATCGATACAATGCTCTGAGGAAGTGCATTAAATTGGTCCATACGTACCAGGACATAATTATCAAAACTTTTTGCCATCAATGCTTACTGAAATGCCAAGAAGGCCATTCATTAAACTCCCACCATAGATATCACAACCACTAAATGTCGGTAGTCACTCATGTCGTTTCGTTAGTGCAAACCATGTATAAGTCGGGATAAGATCGTCCCGTCATTATTATAGAGACATTTGGTGCCTTACAAATGTTGTAAAGACTACTCATGTAGTAATTGGATCCGCATACTTATTCATGACTCATTTAAAACACAACATTTGTTTTAAAGTGTCATCCGTACAAACGGCAGTGTAAAGAAAAACGACTGTTAATTTTGGACACAAATATTCTTTAAATATCACTAGCCACGGGAACGATAGAAGGAAAAGCCTGCAAGACATGAATGATCGAATAGAGAGGGAAAGGTAGGAGATAAAAAAGGGAATAATCGACTGAAGAAATAAAAAGGAGGTAAACTAAATAGGGAATATCAACACTTTCTGTTCTGTGAAGGCACAATGAGGGCGCTAGAACATCTGAAGTGTGAGTGAGCATTGCGAGTTCACCGCCATCACAGGAAGGACAGTTATACACCGACCATTTTCCTTGCCAGGAGTTGCTACAAAGGTAAAAACAAATCCCATTTACCGTTTTGACGAGGTGGAGGTATAAAGGATAGTAGAGTACATCCTAGGGGCCTAACTGCCGTTGCATTTAACTTGGCTGACTTAAACAACAAATCGAGTGCTGATTTTATGACATCAAAATGTTGATCCTGCATGCGGAAAGTGCTGAACTATAATTGGTGCTTTGACACTTTCATCCGATTAAAGAATATGCAGAATATGCACCCTCCTTGTTCAAGTCGGGGAACAAAGCATGCAAACGTGATCCAACTTACTGGAATAGCGTAGATAAAGAGTGCAATAAGCAGAACGGCGAGGAAGACGCAGATGATCGTGATGAGGATACATTTGAATCGTTTGCAAATAATGAACTTGCATGTCTTGAAAGGTGAGGTGAACCAGAAGAACGAAGTTTCCGGACGCCTAAAATTGCAAAGTCAGTACGATACCATGCAAAAACACTTATTTTGTAGTTGCTTGATGGAATCAATGTTATTTTTACCAAACACAAATGAAGATTATGTTATTATCTTTGGTGATTTATGTTAAAACTGGAATCACTTTGTTTAATTGCGGTAAAATTGAGTGCCGTTAAGTGGCCTACTTGGGTTTATCCAAGTGCGGATTAGCGTTTGGCTCGTCTCGTCCTTTTCCTGCAGGTCTTTCCAGTGCTTCTTGTTTAGTCAGGAGTTCCATTTCTGCTTCAAGTTTACCCTGAAAGCAAATTCAGAGATGCTCAAAATGGATTTCGGCGTTTCTAAATTCATAGGACACGACCGTACCTGCGTTTCAATGTTTTATAAGCAACATTTGAGCACACGCAAGCACCGACACCTGCTGTTCTCCCAAAGGGAGGTAATGCAAGTAGATTACCATACCTTCCATGTCTTACATTTAATACTTTAAGCCCGCTTGCAATTTTTAAAGAGCTCTCTTAACTTTATGCGAAGTAAACGAAGAATTTAATGCATTTTTCTGACAGAGTAGCGTCTCAAAATTTGGACCCATCATTTACAATTCATTAACCAGCTCTTTAGTATACTACAAGACCCACTTGGAAATTCATAGACTCTATGTATGGAGAGTGGAACGAGTTGATTTTCTGATGCAAGCGTAAAATATGCAAACCAAGCATGGCAATTACCGTTAGTTGTCCATCTGGCCCAGGCTGGTCAGCAAACGGCCAGAAACCGCTAGCACGTTTGCTTTCAAACAGGTTGATCATTTTGTTCTTTGGACTACTTGTATTCATTATATCAAGGGTGCATTCCTTAAGCTTCTTGGCTGGTTGTGGCATGTGTGTTAGAGGTAATTCCATTGTTCCCAAATAATCATCGGGTGAGAATAAGTCATTGTCCCATACCTACAGAAATGAAAGTAAACTCATAATCAGATAGTGTGAGTAAGAGGACCGAAAAATGAGCATAACTGGTTAAATCGCAGAAAAGGTACTTTAAGTGCTCGTTCTTATTTAAATAAACCACTTTATCGCACCTGCAAACAGAGGACCGCCGGGAATCTCTTTTCAACCTTATCAAGAGACCAAAAGTGCTCCTTCTTCGAGACGACTAATTCGTTTTCCGCCGGTATGAACCCGAATGGGAAGATGAGACGCCAATTGAAGTTTCCTTCACCGTCAAGTGAACGATAGTGAACGTCCGTATGCTCACGTTCGTCAACTCCCATTAGCCAACCCTACATTTCGCATGGATAGACTCGGTTAGTACTTGGGGATTGGATAGAGTAGATAAAGAGTGAAGTTAGACCCACTTTGACATAGATATCAGACATACGTTCGCCAGTAATTGACGTTTCATCGAGCTTGACATTATATGTATTCCAAACAATAACTCTTAGCTCATATTCCTTCGGACGACGTGGAGTAATGTCGAAGCAAGGTCCAGGTTGACCCAAATTCGAAGGAAATATGTCCACCCATAGTTCAAGTTTTCCCTAATGGGAAAAGTATCACGGCATAACACTGCACATGAAGCACCAGTAAAGCAAAAGCTTTTGATGAGGCGAACGGAAAGTTATTCACCGGTTTTCGACAATCATTGGTGGCAGAAAGGGAGCAAAGTGCAATAGCATAAATAATAAAGCTAATGCATTATGCATTTTACTTAGTAACAATCCACTAAATGATGGATTATTCTGCCCAAGAAGGATGGAATTACAGTTTCTCTCCAAACTTAATGTAGAAAAGGTGCATAAATGAAAAATCGCAGGTGAAATCCATGAAGTCACCACAGCACAGATGATTTCGAGTCCACAAAGATGATCCACACTTTACAAATTAAATATGGTGAATCCAGCTACTCAAAATTGTGTCCAGTAGATTGTGATGTAGCAAGTAGCCGGACTACTGACTCAATTGTGAGGTCTAGACCCTCCTCCACCACATAAAATGGCAAGCCTCCTGTGCTGAGACGGCATTTAATGACTTCAGGAAAGACTTCAAGGCTCTATTAGTTAACACAGGGCGTTATGAAAGTGCGCGCACATCCACATGGTGGATCATAATTGCTGAGACTTTGTTGAGTTGAAACCACTGAAAACAATCACACAAACATCAGTTGAGTGTGCACCGCGCAATATTTTGCATGCACTGCGATAAAACACCCAAGCATACCAAAATTATATGTGGTGATTGATACAATTACCAAGTGCTAGTCCAATAGCCACATCATTTTACCAAATCATTAAAAGGATAGTCCAGAAACTGTTAAATAGAAATAATATTTGAGTAACTTGTACGACACTAGTCTGAATAGTAAATTTATGCACAAAAGGTGTAGCAGAATGCAAATACTCATGTGCAACTTGTTGATCGCCTAGTTGTTAAGCTTCAAGGTAGGGATTAAACTATGAATGCTCAAAACTGTCAAAAATTTCAAATTCATTAAATGTTTTTTATAAGAGACTTTGAGGCGCAGAAGTAAGTCCATTAATAGCTGCTATCTTCATTACCGAAGGAGAAAATTTTTGAAGTCTATTTCACGCCAGTAATTAGACTTTAGTACTGCATTTAACCCACCTGATCCATTCCAGGTTGAATAGGATTTTGAAGTACTCTTGTTTCCACGTGTTCTTTGACCAACGGGAGGGCATTTAAGATATGAAGTGCAAGACGTTCCTTTGGAGGCCCCCAATGTGGGCTAGGGGTCATACCTTTTTCAAACGCATTGATGTTAAAGAAGTGTTCTCCAATATGGCAGGTGACGACACCATTTCCTTCAATGGAGTACTTTGGATCTGGGAGGGAGTTTTTCTTACAGAATGCGGCAAGAATTTCCGAGGGCAGCTGGTTGTCACGCCACTGATTTATGCCTGTTAAGTTGTAGGACTGTGGAATGCCACATGTGGCACGGAATCTAGTAAGTAGCCGGTTCTCCAAGTCGATGACAGTCTCACCGATGACATCGTCACGCGTCATCAAATCGTAATCAACGATTTTGATAATCAAATCCTTCTCAATCGGAATAAGAGCTTTTAGTTGAAACATTCTAGAAGGAGACGGATTTGTTGTTCGAAATGGTGGGTAATTAGGAGTCTTGAAGACAGTAAACTACCTACCTGCCAAATTCGGGATTCAGGTTGTTGGGAATATAGTTATCCTTGGAGCTGACCTTTTGTTTTCCCAACCTGATCTCAACATAAGGATCAGCCTATGAGATGAAACAGAAACACTTTAGAGAACATGTTTAACCACCTTCTGCAACATATAGAAGAGCAAGGGCATTACCAAACCAGATGGGTCACTTGGCTGCAGGTCGATGGCTTTTATAATGTAGACACGAATTATGCATTCGACTGGGGCTGAGTCTGGAACCTCATTTTCAAGATACTTTAACGGCATCGCAGCATTTGGATCTTCGGGAAGGCAATAAATACGGAAGGTACCCTTGAAGTCTCCAGCAAAGTTTTCTTCATCATCTTCATCGGAATCTTTTGATTTTCCTCGGTATAGGTGGAATGTTGGACAAAAGTCCTCAAAGTGATAGAAGCCTTCACTATCCTCTACTGGATGAGGTAGGTACTAAATATATGCAAAAGGAGGTTGGTTACATCTTTGTAATAGAATTCCGTATTCGTGCATTTATCAAAAACATCAGGTGCTTTAAAACCATCTCGTTAGAATGACCTAGAATGCAAGCTATGCTAATATCCAAATTGTCACTTTGCTTGGGTACGATTTTTAATATACACCCATCTATTCTCTTATTTCAGGGCATATTTCCGGGCACACTAACTGAGAGACGAGGGCTACCTTGAGTAGATCATAGCCACGCTCTTTGTAGTCGGTACATTTCTTGAATTCACCCTTTGACGCATAGTATTTAGAGTACCAATCAATGTTGGGGTCCAGCTGTTCCAAATCCATCTAGAAGCACAGTAAAACAGAAGAACGTTTACAGTCTGTAGATGTGCGGTGAATGCTTATGTTGGTTAATCAAACTCATTGACATTAACGAGAAATTCAGCGAAACGCAACCACGGATGAGAACATTATGACTATGGACAACACACGAGCACACCAAAACAGAGAAACACTTCAATCACGAGCGGCTAACTTCGCTAGCCTGTTCCCGCAAGTACGCAAGCGCACCCTCAGTAGCGGACGTTTCCGCTCCATCTGGGCGACTGGAACGCCGAATGCTGGTTCTCGACTAAATGAGGTCAAAATGATTAAGACCATCCCTCACAGAATACATTTTTGTGCAGTCCCATGTGTAAGTGCATGCAAAGTGTACGGTGCGATGTTTCATCACAGTACACAATTTGCGGTGTTGGAGCGTAGAACACATACTAAAGTAGCTTAAGGGATTGATATCGAATAACGGTGAGTACCTAGTCCAAAAGGGGACCTTTCAAGTGTTTAATTAGGACTCATTGTTTTTACATTGTCCCTAATGCCAGTGGCATTGGCCAAAGCCACAAAAGAGTTGAATGTGACTTAACATGAGGTGAAAGTAAGAAGAGGGGTGGTGCCGCATGCTATCCAAGTGATGTGAATAAAAGTGACAGCGACAACCTGTTGAAGTTGTCTCTTTCGAAAAGAAAGAAACTTCCACCTTTTCTTTGGGTCCACATAGGGCTGTGCAGGAACAGTCTGGCAGAGAGGAACCACTTTTGATTTTAGTAAGCTCAATTTCAAACCAGTAACTGCAATGCTTAAAATTGCAGAGTCCTTAAAATGTTCCTATAAGTTCTCCCACAGAAACAGTTTGTAGTGTTTATCCACATAATTGGGTGATGCATTAAGCCATGAAGACTTGGAGCCCTAATGAAATATTATTTTGGAGTTTCATTCAACAGTGTTTCACAAAACAATCAAATAGTCATGTATGAGATTTGCGTGCATACCTCACATGTGTACAACTCGATTCCTTTCGAGTTGAAAGTGATTCACGCGCTGGTCAGTTCATATTGACAACTATGCTCACTGATGAAATGTTTCTCGGCGGATGAGTAGTACTTAATGCCAACAATTTTGACTACATCGTTTAAGAGCTGCTTTTGTGAGAGGATATTAGCCTATTAAGTCGCGAATTTGCATTACGGCATTGACTTTACCAAGCGCAGGAAGGAAAGCGAACAGAACTTACGTCGCGCTGCGGACCAAAAAGAAAATATGTATGCACGATGAAGACAGCAGTGACAAGATTTAGGCTTTACCGATCTCTTCGATTTTTTAAACACTTACAGCGCAGAGAGCCTTCTTCTCCGGTTCGTATGGCTTATCCATGTCTTGCTCATGGATAAGAGGTGGCGAACCTGCTCGTTCCAGCTCTATGATGAAAACAGCGGAAAGTAATACTCGTAGGAAAGTGAATATTAGGGTTAAAATAATTGATGTTGGTGTACACGCAGATAATTTTTTCAAAGCTCATAAGAAAGATTCGATGGATGTAAAGGCCCGCCTTGATGCAATCTCTTGGATCCAAACTATTTCAAAAAATTTGATGTTTATGACATCATTCATAATTTGAGATCAAAAGGCTCATGATTAAGAGAAGAAATATCACACCTGGAATGGCTTCGAGAGGATCGAATGGTTGCATCAATGGAGGTACCTTGAAGCCTGAAATGTCGGAAATGACATGGGTTCCAACTAGTGGTTTGCGACCAAACGGTCGATTGTCGCGTACACCAATGTTAATTGGTGGCATGTAGAGAGTCTCCTTGGGAAGTTTAGCCACATGGAACATGAGTGACTTCTTAAAGTTTGGTGTTCTTTTCAAGTTAGTGATGACATCTGAACTGAGCACTGTTCCACCGACTTCAATCTCCACCGAAGGCGAGTTTACTGCAGCCAACTGATACTTGGACATATTACGAACACCCCAGCAAAGCACTTCAATACCCATAGTTTGAAGTTCGGGACGAATTCCTTCAGGAACCTCGTAAATCTCTGTACCGGGTTTAAGATTGGGCGGCGATGGTGGAGCAGTGCCATCAATCTATAAAATACATTTTTTGACAATTTTTAATGGTTTTATTAGATATATTCTAAAAAGCTTAAGATGAATAAGCAAACGTATGTATTTCAATG